GATGGCATGCGCGAACGCCGGCACCTCCCGACCACGTTGAGATCAACGTTACGAGAACGAGAACAAGACAAATAAAACACACGCGTGGGGGCCTCACATGCGGGGGCCTCACGCGGGAAAGGTCAAGCCAGAGCCTACGGGCGGGAAGAGACTCGTGAATTCTTGACAAAAACGGTCAAAAATGCACCGTTGTTGGGAATGGTGGACATTGGCCCATTTTCACCAGCAGCAATAAAACAAAAATCTGACGCAATGAACGTTCCACAAAGACCTGGTCCTTATACCTCTTTCTTTTCCACCGTGCTGGGGCTGTGCCAAGCCAGCCCAGCACAGCTCAGGAAGCACCAGGTTGGTCGTTTTTCCACTGCAGATCCAGAGCTGTGTCACCGACGTCACGCGCATTGAACCTACGACAACAATTATAAAAAACCCCACCCTTGGCCCCCGAACCAGATTTAGAAGTCCTGAGAGGCCAGCAAATCACGGCCTGATTCTGGCTCGGCTCAGGAAAGAGAAGGTGCAAAAAACTACCCACCTACTTCGAGAGTCCCCAAGTGACTCAGCTCTGATGTGCCAGTGGAAAACGAGTTTCAGTGTCTTGTGTTCTCCAACGAGCACAGGGGGTAGCGCTCATCTCTGTTGACAGCCCTCAGCTGGTGGTGTCAATTCCACGTTTCCACGGTCTGGACCGGTCTCTCCATCGGACAAACATTGATGACTTCCCACCCCCCAATAGCCGCACTAATTGTGTCGACCCAGAAGAACAACACAGACTGAGCTGAGCCTCATAACCAGGTTCTGAACCGCGAACCCTTCTGATTGCGCGACAAGTTTGCCACAGTGCCACCTGGCCGGATGCACCGATGATTCCCCACTCGGGGTAAACTTTGTGCACAGTTCCCACGCTGCTTTGAGTGCATGGGATGTAAATAGAGCACAGTCGAATCCCCGCATGATTATCGGGATGGCTCAAGCTACGACGACAAACACACACGGGAAGAGTACGTTATTAAACGCCTTTCGCACTCCCATAAAGCCCAAGTATCTTCATCGTCGCGTGTGATTTCACGAGCAATACATGACACCTGTATCTTCTTTCTTATTTAATTCCCACAACACGTTATGATATAATCAGTGCTACAAGGAAATTACATAGTGTTTATTTTGCCTCTCAGGAATAACTTTAGCTCTACGATTACACATCCAATGGGGCGTAATGCTCACGATGAATAAGTAATATTAAAGGTCCTTTATTTACCTAGGAAAGCCTCGCTAAGGACATTTTCCATAGGACCTGGAGAAGAGCCACACGTGACGTTTTAAATCCGTAAAGAACCTTCTTGCACTGCTGCCTCGTTCCTGGAACCCCACTGTATCTTGCACACAAGATGATCTCTGCTTAATCCACTAACCCTACTCACAAAGCGCTGAAAGATAGGCACCACATCACTACAACTGGCAATCGACACCCACGATACTCCTCAGTGGATAAGTCTGAGCCAAAGGGGATGATTGGCCTACTCTTCCACGCCGGTCAGACATCTTGCCAGTCGACTACGCGCTGTGGTGTACCCATCACCACTATTATCATCATCATCACCATTATCATCACCACCATTATCATCACCATCATCATCACCACCACCATCATCATCACCATCATCATCATCACCACCATCATCATCACCATCACAATTATTGTACTGTGGTGTACCCATCATTATACTCATGGGTGGACAGAGGAAGTTGCCCAGACCAAATAGAATACGCGACCTCCAGCGTGCTAGCCATCACGCCATGACAGCACTGGCTACAGGACAGAGCAATCACAATGCGTAACTGTTCCTTGGAAATAGTTAAAAGTTATTCCCGTAATTAATTTATGCACGGCACCAGCTCACGCCGAGTGTCAAGCCGTTAAGACCCGGCCATTACGGGCGCTCAGAACACCGTGGCACCCTGGAATCTATTTCGCTTTGCGAGTGGCATTAGAGGTTTCAGGGCAGTAATTAGAGGCAGGCAGGGCCCTTTCCCTCGCATGTCAGGGTGGCATTGGCTGTTTTTGGTTCTGCGAGGGGCGAGGGCCCGATAAAGCGCGGGGAATGGGCAATTTGTAGCAATTACAGCCGTCAACCCCCAGCCACCACAGCCTGAAGTTGTGGTGCTTAGCAGTGAATCGTCTACGTTGCGTGCAAGAGGCTCCATTGCCGCGTCGTCTCAAAGGAGGCACCGGTGGCTCAGCGACACCAACAGCGACACGCAGAGTCGGGCCGCCACGAAGGCGGTACATGGAACGTGTTCGCGTCATCAGACTAGCACAGGCAATATTACTCGGAATGTATCCGTGTCGTTTGATTACGATGACTGTATACGTATTATATTCGCTCTTATTACATTGAAGATCTGGATTCCATGCAGCCGGCCATATTGAGGTGCCACTGCACACGGCCATGCAGACGTTGATGGCTCCAGAAGTGATCGTGGGCACAGAGGAGTGGCCAGGTCACCGCTATTCTGGCTTCCCGTGGTGAGCGTGGATGTCACAGCCCGTGGTGAGCGTGATTATATCCCATGGTAAACGTGGATGTTATATCCCATGGTAAACGGGGATGTCACAGCGCAGAGCTGCCTCACGCGGGCACAATTTACACTCCAGCTCACGAGTGCTGAGGCAGCACGAGATGCCTTTTCGTTTGTTTATTTTGTCCCGTTCGTTTGCTCCTTTGATATTTACAAAGTCACCGCGTTGAAAACAAATAGCGTCGGTGTTTGAGTACGGTGAAAATACGAATGCGTATGATCTCATGGGTCAGCGTCCGTTGAGGTCAAAGATATCCTTATGCAATGGCCTTCGACTAGGCCCTTCATCATGTGGGGTTTATACGACGAGTGCCACTTGGTTGTCCAGTGGTAAAAATTGACTGATATCATGGGAATGTGGAATTTCCTCGGCTCATGCAGGGCTGCCAGAAAACGCAGAGGTGAGAACTGCCCCATGCTCGTTTGATGGTGGAGACGCCTTCAGCTTGGCGTTGTGAACACATCACTCGGGTCACAAGGCCTCGTCATGTTCTGCACACGCCACTTCTTGTGGGAGGGCAGCCACGAGAGGGAGCTCTACAGAGTGCCCCGTGAGGGTATTTTACCGACTCTTCCATGATGGCCAGATGTCTTGGAAAAAGGTGAGAGGGCCCACACTTTACCCCACCGCATGCGACCTGCCGACCGGCTGTGGCTGTACCCACTCGTACTGCGGGGGGTGGGGTATTTAATAAACTGGCAGGCACCGTATGTTTTAATTGCCGCACCAGGAGATCGAACCGGCGACCTCTGGATTGCAAGCCCAGTGCACGCACCGTCACAACCCAGATAGTATGGATGGTACGTGCAGAGCCGTCCATAGGGGCCCGGGGCAACTTATACCCTTTGTGTTCAAACTAAATCAGACGTATTACATCTGACAACCCCCAAAGTTCGGGGCCCGGGGCAGTCGCCCAGATTCGCGGTACCCTAGGGACGGCTTTGGGTGCACACGTTGCCTGCGTTAATATTCAAAACCACCCAGCTAAGTGACGGCGTTGTCACTGCGCCTGGCTCGTGATCGCACGGCTGCAATCCTGTCAGTGGGTCAAACGCAAATCCCAGCACACCTGGGGTCAGCAAAACGAGTCCCGCTCCTGTGGGGAGAATATCGCCATCGCCGGGGATGGGAGGACTGGGCCCCGCCAGGGCCTCGCGCCGTCGCCGACGGAGATGGGCGTCGCTCCATGTGTCCTCAAGCGTGGAGACCCTTTGGCTGTGTCAATGAATGCGGCGGCGCGCTGCGCCAAACTCGGCCTCCACCGACTCGCGGACGCTGCCGAAACCCTCATCACCAATCCTCATCACAAATCCTCATCACAAATCCTCATCACAATGTGCGCTGCTCGGATCGGTGTGCGGGGCGTGGCCACGGGGGCACGCTGCAGTGGTGGGGGGGGCCTGGGGGAGAGTTTCCCTGCGATGGGCCCTCGACATCTCCTGAATACGAATGCCTTCTCAGGCCACGGTCTGGAAGCCGTGGAGCAAAGCCGACTCTCCGCTCGTAATGAGATGGTGCAGTGCACCGCGTGAGCGAGCAACATGGCTCCCCCCCCCATAACTCTTGTGTATGTCACCTCCAGGGTCTCTCGCTGTGTCCCTCTCCACGACTCTTGCTGTTTGCGTGTCTCTCCCTCTCTCTGTCTATCATGCTTCAAGTCTCTTTTTGTATTTATCTCTCAACGTGTCACCATTTTCTCTCAAGGTTTGTTATACGTCTCCATATTTTTCTCCCTGCGTCAGCTTCTGTGTCTCTTAATGTGTCCCTGTCCTTGACCCTGTCCGCCTCACCTGCGTGTCCCTATGTGTCCATTTACCTGCATGTCTCCAAGTCTCACTTTGTGTCTGTCTCCGAGTCTGTATATATCCATGTCTCTGTAAGTGTTTCATTGTTGATATCCTTCCATGTCTCTCTGTCTGTCTCTCTTCCAGCCTCTGTCGTTGTCTCTGGAAGACTGCCTCTTCTCCCTCTCTGCACACAGGGTCGCATTTAGCAAGGAGCCATCGCCAATGGCGCCTTCCTGTAATCTCGTCACTGCAATGTGGGGATGGCGGTACCACACGGAGATGGAGCGGAGGGCGTGAGACACACCCACAAAGGGAACAATGTGGTGCCCCGCCCACCTCCTACGCATTCACAAGTAGCACTAATCACATACCTGCATTTCCCATAAATATGCAAAATTCCTCTTGATATGCAAAATATTTTGTCAAGGCGCCCTTCCCCCCTTCCAACCCAGCTTAAATATACGCTCCAAGCGTGGTGGTGTTTCATTCAGACGCTGTCTCCCCGACAGAGCTGGTCTTCACCTGAGGACGGCTGCTTGCGTTGTGGCCGAAACGTCGTGAGAATTATTTTATTATGTTATATTTTTATTATTTTATTACTTCCCTTCTACGTGACTTTACCGAAAGAACCAAGAAAATGTGGTGCCTGTAAGAAGTACAGAAAATAGGTTCTGACTGCGTAGCCCTCAGCCTACCCTCCGTCAAGTGAAGGTAGAAGATCGCAGTTGTACACCACTTTGTTGAGATCAACGGGGACATTCTATGGAGGCATTGGCTTCTGCCATACGAATGTGGGACGAACACCACTAAATGATTAAGACGACCAATACAAATGGTCGCCACTCCCATGCACGTTTGAGTGTGGAGATGCTCGAGTCAAAACACACACGTGTGCGAGTGTGGGGAGCGGTGGCGCAGTAGTCAGCGCACTGCACTACAAACCCAGCAACCCGAATAGGATTCCCGCCCATGGCCAACATCGGTAACGAATACCGGTACCGGTCCTGGGCCTCCACGAGACAGACTCGGCCTTCGACGGGTACCTGGTGCGGTGTGCGAACATCGCCACTGGGGAGACGAGGGTGGTGGTGTTCAATTCCCATCTCGTGTCTACTCGCTAAAAGCACTTGCCCCAACAGTCTGTTATAGGCTATACGGGGGATCTTTGTTCTTGTAGGAGTGTTGGGTGCCACATACTCCGAGTGTGTGTGTGTAAGATACAACCTACCGCCTTTAGGAATGTACAGAGCCATGTATATTTAAATGCCATTTCTCGCCAAACATCAAGACGCCTTTCACTGCGCGCACTGAGAGCGTAAAGATAAAGCGGGGACAGCAGCAGCAGCACAATGGGCAGGGCGACATTGTAGCCACAGCTCATGGAATTATAAAAAAAAGAGGCACGGGGACCTTTGATGAGTCAATGTCAGAACACAGAGGCAGACACAAAAGACTTCCACCCCGCGCCGCCGCCGGTTCTTATCCACGCAAACGCCCTGTGGCGAGCTCCCCCGGGGCAAGCTGGTGCTGGGGGGGGGGGGGCTCCCCACGGGTCCCCCCGCCCCTCCGACCTTTAAAATGAACGCCCCTCGCTCTTGGCGTGCAGCAACAGCGCGGATTTCAAACGCAGAGCAAAGGAGCAGACCCCGCCGGAACACCGGGACGCACGCCGGCTGTCTTCGCGCGCGCGCTGCAGCTGGAAGCGAGTGTGCCCGATGCAGCGCGCCGACTCGAATGTGTTTTTGCTTCGCGTCGATCGTGTTTGTTTCGTTCCTGTTGTGGCTGCGTGGCGTCGTGGGTTGTGGGTGGTTGACGATGCGGATCTGTAACCCAGCCTAAGTGGCCTCGGAGGTGGCCTGGAGGTGGCAGTCGAGCAAATGGACCCATTGTGTGCGTGGGCATTCTCTGGGGCCTTCACTGATTTCACACACGCATGCAAAGCACCGGAACAATGTAGAATATGTTTGCGAGGGTAACGAGTCTTCAGGCTTTTCTGGATAAAGTTATCCTCCTCCATGTATTTAGAACACACTGATTTCTGACGATTTCCTTTTCTGTCTTTTCAACAGGCAATTGAATATCCGCATCTTCCAGAGAAACACAAAAGGAAGGTGGTGGACATAGGTGGGGATTCATGCATCTACCACAAGACAAAGATCCCCCGTATAGCCTGGAATAGACTGTTGGGGCAAGTGCTGTTTGCGAGCACCTACAAAGGCCGGCACGGCACAAGAACGGGGTGGGTGTCCAGCACCACGCCCGGCCGCCTTTGTTTCCCCAGTGGCGATGCTTACACATCGCACCAGGTACTCATTTGAGGCCGAGTCGACCTAGGGGAGGCCCAGGTCTAGTTCAGATAATCGTCGCTGGTGTTGACCGTGAGTTGGAATCGAACCTGGGTTGCCAGGTTCGTAGCGCAGTGCACGTTATCGCGACACCACCGCTCCCGCGCGCTCTCACACGCGGGCACGGCATCGATTCCGTGAGAGGTAAACGATTACCAAATCGCATCGCAAATTCTGTGACGCGGGGTCAAGGGAGAACGTGGAGCCACGGTGAGACTCTGGCCATCCGGACCTAACAAAGGACCACACCGCGATCGACCGACCGCTTTGTCCACTCGCCGGCGAGGACTGGACAGTCCTAGTTACGGCACCTCCAAAGGCATTCTCGCGTGCCTTGCGCGCATAGCGTGCACCGACAGTCCTTGCCATCGGGTAGAATGAGAATAAGAATTAAGGGCGTTAAGGAAATCAGTGCGATGGCTGTAAGATCTGAGGAGGCCATGCTCTATAACACAGTCTATAACGGTGTCATTTCTCCTTATTGTTTTCGAGGGGTATCTATTAATGGATCACTCTCTATAATTAACAATAAATCTAATCTCATTGATTTAAGAGCCAGGGTTTGTGGACCGTGCACACTGCACTCGATTTAAAACCTCCCATATTCCATCCCTGATCACCACACACGAGGAGCAAAAAGGCATCTTAACCTGCCCTTCTATAGTCTTCGCCAAGGGCCAACTTAGCCACAGAAGAGTATCTGGTGCGATGTGTAAACATCAGCACTGGGGAGACGAAGGTGCCGGGTTCTGACCACACCACCACCCCAACACGTGCCATCTGAACATGTTTTTGTAACGCGCGTCTCAACCCCCACTTTGTCCCGATGGTGCTGTCGGTGTCATGAGACGCGAGAATCCATTCGGAACTCTTGCACAACAATGCAATGCTTCCCGCAAAGTAGAAAAAAAAACAGCCCACGGAAGTGGATGCAACAGATCTACTTCTCAGATCCCTTTCTCACCTGCCCCGCCGTTGAGAGTAATGTCCGTCACATGATGGACAAACGTTTGAGTTTAAATCTCAGAGCTGGAATTTACCGAAATCAGCACCACATTGTATGCGATGGTTTTTGTGTTGTACCTCCATTGGTGACCAGGCTGAGACCATCCATGCTCTACAAGTGTGAAGTCGTTTTAATCACAAGCAGCTGCCTGGATTCGAACCCAGGTATCAGTCGTGCAGGACTCAGTGCTCTGATTTCTAAGACACCTGACCACCTAAATAGGTGCTTGCTAACAACATCTGCTCCTACAATCTATAGCGCTAAATGAGGGTCTTTGTGTGTGGCTGTGTCATAGCTTAGCGCAGCAATATATTAATTTTGGTTCGTGAAATAAATCACAGAACTTCACATAGGCCTCCATGAGGTGAACTCAATCAAAAAGGAGTGCCTGCTGTGATGGGGTCAACATAAGTACTGGGGATACAAAGGTGGCTGTGCAATGTGTGGTGTTGGCCACCGTACCACTTTGTTTGACGCGCTAGCCTTGATAGGTGCTCGCTGAGAAGACGGTGGAAGAGTCTGGCGTATTCGTCTGGCGAGCACTGTAAGATGTGTACTGTTCCTTGCCCAGCCCTCTCGTGATTACAGGACTATATTGCCCTGCCATAACACTGCAGAACGTTGAAATGACCTTTGTGTTTTGACGCTTTATGAAGGCGAGTTGTATCGTTTTGCAAACAGCACGGACATCGCACCCATTGGTCTGTCAATACGATTGACCGAACTTTGTTCTGAACTGCTCACTTGTCTCACCACACCGAACAAGGCAGCCCGTTATGTTGACAAATATTACATCAGTCTCGACATGACCGACAACCTTTAAGAAAAGGGCGGCATGGAAACGTTCAATAACCACATTCCAAATGAAGCATTTGGCATATCAATTGAGGTGCACATTTTGAAGAGCAGACCTTGAGTGTGTGGAGTAAATTCCACATTCCCTGTAGTCGAGGCCAGTTTGTCCACAGTACAACCGTCGTAGGCTTCACACCATGCATACCACACTGAGTAAATAGGCACCATCCAGGAAGCACCAGCTTGTGAGCTAATTGTAATGACATTTCAATCAAAGACAACTGCACACTATCTTGCAAGGGTCAATCTGATTACGCATGCACAATTGTGTAGTGAACTTGTTGTACCTGCTTTTGTTTCTACTAAAATGTATCTTGAGTCCACCCTTGCATCCTTCTAATACAATGCATCCACGTGTGTACAGGTGGAACAAGGGGACTCCACTCAGCTAACCACCCCGGATGCCGTGCAAAGGCTGACAACAGGTACAAGTGAAGACGCACCCGTCGCATCGCTGTTCTGACGGGGATTTGGTCTTGGAAGCTGCCCCTACCCCCGGTGATCCCACCCGCCCCTACCCCAGTGACCCTACCCACCCCTACGGACCCCACCTATGCCTATCCACGGCTGCAGCCCCCCTCCTCCGCCCTTCCACAACCCCACCACTCCGAAACCAGAAAGAGAATGGTCGCGTCCTCAAAAGGAAAGGTGCAAAGCCACAAGAGGAAGGGATGGGAACTAACAAGGAAGAGGTGGGGCCTAAGGAGGAAGAAAGCAGGGACTCAAGAGGTTACACTTCTCTGTTGAATTAAGGAAAGACAAGCATAGACTACAATTTGTGCCGCAGCAGGCAGCGCATACCGCTAGTGCAGCAGACGCGGCTACAGGCCAACTCGTCGTACGGTATTGTGAGTGTAAGAGTTGCAAAGTCCAAACATTTTACTCAGGTTCTGAGACGTGCTCGTGCAACGCTCTGACAGGGCCCACAGGAAATCCATCCGCAGCCACAGCCTCGGCTAATTAAATGATTCCTCCTGTCAAATGCATGGCTGCCTCTACACACGTCAAAAGCACAACTTTTTTGGAGTTAGCCCAACAACTTTATAGTTAACCACAAGTTCTACAATGACCTTTTGCCCATAACACTATCTCATAACACTATCTCATAACACTATCATCTCTCCAGCTGCAAAGACAATTTTCATCCAGAGATTTTGGCAAACGTCCCTGCCGCATGTCACAAGTTACATTTTTTACCGCGAAACTTGTTTTAGGCCACAGCGTTTGTGAATAGATGTTGCCCATAACAAGTGGCAGTGGGTTTGCAACAGACATTGATTTAATAGACCACACTGTGCCGATGAGATTCGGTGACAAGAAACCATTCCAGGGTATTTAATGTTTAAACGCTACTCGCATACATTGATACTTAATGCTCATTGATCAACAGAGTAAGTGTTGTTTCACTGGTAGCAATTAAATTCAATCCACAAAAGATTGTCCTTTGGAAAGACTACCCCCGGCCATGGGAATGTGCCATTTCCATCACTGGCGATTATTCAGAATTGTGAAGATGTCTTCCTGTTTCAGGCTTTATTGTTGAAGGTATTTGTAAAGCAACAATCTGGTCAACTCGGATTAAATATTATTGTTACTGCACTGTGAACAGGTTGATTAACAAAAAATGTTTATCAGCACTTCACATAAGATAAAAAAATATATAAATACTCGTAAAATAATAAAATTATACATACAAAGAAAATATAAATAAAACAATAAAATAATCACAAGGTGCCAGAATAAAATCTGGCGACTATTATAAGTAGTGTCAGAAGCCTTGGTTTAAAAGTAGCAACTTTATGGAAGTCAGCAATGCTTATCCCTTGGATAAACATGCTTCTGAATAGAAATGTGGAATGTCCTCGTGTTTGCTAACACAGATGACCACAGAGTCACACTCATTTGAATAAAAAACACGTTTACAATGCAACTGTTCCACAAGCCTCATTACCACGATGGCCCTCTACGCACCTCTGGCAAATGCGGGCAGGGGTTGAAGCCGCAGAGGTTGCAGACCTGCGCTCGGCACCCCGTGCAGGCGCTGTAGTTCGCCGGCTCCTGCCCGCCGACGTTGAGCTCCTCTCCGCAGAGAGGACACGTGACCTTGGGCTTGGCTGGTGCAGGGGCAGCGACCACGGCAGCAGTGGCAGCAGCGGCAGGCGTCCCCGAAACCACCGCTCCCTGCCGCCCCATCTCATCCACCCTGCCCCTCGCATCTGTATTCCGGCCTTGTAGCCGCTGCCCCGAAACATCTGGCACTGCCTGCTGCTGCTGCTGCGGTTTCTGCTGCTGCTGTTTCTGCTGCAAGTCCGACAGCTGACCCAACGCCGCAGCAGCTGCCGAGGCCGGATGAGCGCCACGCGCTTCGTCCGCCGCCACCTGCCTGGGATCCGCGGGTGTCGCGGGCCTCCGCAGCGGTGAGCCCTGCTGGCTGGGCGGCTGGGACCCCGGGCGGCTGGAGGGCTGAGAGCCCGGAGCGTTGACGGCGCCCATGATGGTGGTCGCCTGGCTGAACAGATTGGCCCCAAAGCCGAACAGCTTTCCCGCCACACCGGCTTCGGATGATGACGACGATGGTGCCGCTGATGCCGATGGTGCCGATGGTGCTGCCGTTGCCTTGGTTTCGGGTGGCTGCCTCGGATCTGTAGGATGCGGGGAGAAGGAGGATTTCCTATCCTGCTGCTGTTGATGCTGCTGCTTCTGCTGTTGATTCAACTGCTGCTGTTGTTGCTGCTGTTGTTGCTGCTGTTGCACTTGCTGAGGAGCACGGTCGTGCGGTAGTTCCCGAGCCACATCGTGGACCCCGGGGCCGGGCGGAGCGCCGAGTGGCTGCTTTCTGGGTGATGGCGCAGCCTTCAAATCCACCTGCGGCTCAACGTCGGCCCTGCTCACGGCGGGGAGCGTCGCCGGCTTATCCACAGGAGTGGCGTGCGGCTGCCGCTTTTGCTGAGCGACGCTGTGGTGCTGGGGCTGGTGTTGTGGCTGGTGCTGGGGCTGGGGTTGTGGCTGGGGCTGGTGTTGTGGCTGATGCTGGGGCTGGTGTTGTGGCTGGGGCTGGGGTTGCGGCTGGGACTGGGGTTGCGGCTGGGACTGGGGCCGGTGCTGCGCGTGTGCGTCCGTCTCGCTCGGCTGTTTGCGCGACTCGGGGACGGCGCTGGGCTGGCCCGGAGCGTGCGGCAGAGGTTCGCGGGCAGCAGTCGGCTTCGCTCCGAGAGCCCTCTGCATCTGGCAGTTGAGGCACAGCCACTCGACCTGCGCGCAGGGAGAGCGGCGACACACGCGACCGTTAACGCTGCCTACGTGTCTTCACGTGCGAACGAGCGCGGAAAGCGGTTTCCATCACCTCTGGTGACTTTGGACCAATGGTGGAAATAAGAGATTGGTGACGGAAAGATGTGGCACTATTTGAGCGTATTGGCACAAGACAGAGGAAAGTGGAAACAAATTACGAAAAGTGCAGTGGACACCTACGGGGTGATCTGCCAATGGATCGTGATGACGATCATATAAATTTGAAAAATTCAACATTCCGGTCATAATAATGTGGAATTTTCACAATCCTCTGGCAGTGGTCAGTTTCTGCACGGGATAATTCCTCATTTTATCTATCTCAGAATGATGATGGGTGCCGACACCCGGACTGGTAACCTCCAAGTGCGTGCGTCAAAGTGTTCCAACCACGGTGTCATCTGGACAAGTTGATCGAAGCACAAGGTGATGCTCATGGTAAAGCGATCATGTACCGAACGGGAAATGTACACACTACACGGGCATATTGTCTTCGTGCACAAACGAGTATTGGCCAGTGGTAATCTCCGCTGGTAGCCCTGGGTCGAACGATAGAAATTCCAAACGTCTATGGTGTGGGCGAGTCTATCCACAGCACTACTTGTTAAATTGATACAGTACAAATCGATGGAACGCTGGGAGAGCATAGCTTTCTGTACAAATGTGCATACATCGAGCCTATAAATGCATTCATGAAAACCACTTTGATGGGAGTAAACAGCGGCTGTCCTATGGGGAGACACGACCCCGCCATAGATTAGCGGTGTTTCCACCACTAGTTGATGACCTTTCAAATGTATTCATAGCCGTAAAGACACGTTAACTCTATACTCTTTATATATACAACATACATATCTGTAACCAGGCTGTTGATGGAGATGGTTTTGTATGTTTATCCTTCAGATGAATTGTTGATTGAGGCGGCATAATTGATGCAATCCTGCTCAATTTTACAAAGCAACCCCAAATGGCCATGAGGTGACACATTGCAGGGCCCTCAACTCGCAAATATGGGCGCTGTAAAAGCAGAGACTTTCATCAGCTCGTGTCTGAAGCGTGTATTATATCACCAAATAAGGGAGGGGAGAAATCGCTAAGAAACATAATTGGTCTATTATGTTCTCGGGTGTGCTGAAATTAAATTGGGTTTCCAATAAAGCGGGTGAGATAATTCTATATCTGATCAAACCATTTGGTCAGTATTTTCACCCAAAATCTGCCAAACATTGCATTCAAAATATAGCACAGCCCTGCAGACCCGCGTACATGCTATAATTTACACAATTTAAATACGAAGGTGAACTCTACATTCAGTTCAAAGTTAATTTACTTAACTAGGCGATAATCCATTGACATTCATGATCACTTTTGTATGGATGAACCGAACAATGGTAGACACGCAGATGCAGACATGGTCCTCGTTTTTTAATTCATCATCGTCGTCATCAGCCACTGTCTATCCACTGCTGCGTGAAGGCCTTTTCAAGCCATTACGTTGCCTCATGGTCCAGATTTGCTACAATCCACTTCACTCCGTGTCTGCATTCCCTCTTTTGGCTGCTATTTCATCACTAGTCTCGTCCACCGCATGTCTAGCGATGAGTGCTGCGTAGGCCCAGTTACTTTTCAAGTCAACGTGACATCCTCGACTTGTCTGTGTTCCCTGAAACTATGCATTCAATTTTCGATCTCAATTCCAAGCACGCGTCTCTCTCCGTGCTTCTTTGTTCACTTTTCAGCTTTTGTTCCATAGTCTTTGTCAGTGTCCGTTCCGTGTCATCGCTGGCAATGTGCACCAATTGAAGGTGTTCTTCTTCAGACTCAAAGGGATGCTCTTTTTAATTATTCCTTAACTTTCTAAACTCACTCCATCCTGCTCGTGTTCTCCTTTAATAGGCCTCTGTTCCATACTCGGCACGACATCGTTATATCACTAAACAGAGCGTTTGTCACATGGTATAACACTCTATATACTCGAGATTTGAAAAAGGTAATTAATTGATCAACCAAATGTAATATTTTATTCGTATTCATTGGTGGGCAGGCTGAGATCATCAACTCTCCCACTAAATCATGGTTGGCTAAAATTCAAATCCGCGATCTCAGCGGTACCAGGAGCCCTTTTTAAGCGTTTGATAAAAAAAAACTTTCCTTGCTGATACATTTAAAATGTTCTACTGACAGCGATTGCTTTTAAAAGGCAAGAGTTTTACAGTGTTCTACCCAACAACATTCCCATACCATTTGTTCGCTCAAATCGACCCAACGGAGCCTAATTTTCGTTTTAACCAATGGAGTCTGACCTTCCCCGAACCCTCTCAAGGGGAACACATGTTAGTTTCCCTGGGAGCACAAATATCCACTGAATATTTGTACCTGGGAGACCAATATTCATTTACACTGGCTCATTGCTGTGACAGTCCCTTTGTGGTTGTGTGGGTGTGTGTGTGGAGCTCTGGCATTATATCTCTCCATGTGGTTGCATGTATGTGTACCTGTGTTGCATCACACACACACGCGTATACAGCCCCATGCGTCAGCCCGCTTCCCCGTGTACCTGTGACAGGTGTGGGTTGGGATTGAATCCGCACTGCTTGCACACCGTGGCTCGGCACTCCGTGCAGCTGCTGTAGTTGGGTGGATCAGCCGAGTTCAGGTTCAGGGCCGAGGTGTTGCAAAGGGGGCACATCGTTACTTTTGGCGGGGCTGCCGAACCTCGGGTGGACGTGCCGTGGACGCTTTTAGGCCGAGACCTCTTCTCCTGGCCTTCGGCGGAGGCGGGGGCGGCGGTAGCGGCCGCCCCGACACCTCGACCCCGCTGCTCTGAACGGGTTCCTGTGGCCTCCTGCCCACGCGCCGAGCCCTGCCTTTGCACCCCAGTGGAGTCGCGATGGGATCCCCGCTTAGACCCACGTTCTGCCTCCCCTCCACCACTGCTGCCCCCGCTGTGGTGGTGATCAGATGCAGAGGATGGCTGCCTCTGCAGGTTACGGCTCCGATGAGCCCTACCTCCCTGCGCCTCCCCACCAGACACCTCCCCGGACTCCCCCTGCCTCGCACGAGAGGAGCGGCGCTCCCGGTTTTGGTGCCGACCCCGTTCGGCACCATCCCCCTGTAGGCCCTCCCCTTGTCTACTCCTGCCTGCATCTCCTTGAAATACTTCCCCTTGCCTAGATCGGCCTTGGTCTCCTTGGAAACCTTCCCCTTGGCCGACTCGACCTTGGTCACCTTGAAAGCCTTCTTGCCTAGCCCGGCCTTGGTCACCTTGAAAACCTTCTTGCCTAGCCCGGCCTTGGTCACCTTGAAAGCCTTCTTGCCTAGCCCGGCCTTGGTCACCTTGAAAGCCTTCTTGCCTAGCCCGGCCTTGGTCTCCTTGAAAACCTTCTTGCCTAGCCCGGCCTTGGTCACCTGGAAAGCCTTCTTGCCTAGCTCTGCCTTGGTCACCTTGAAAGCCTTCTTGCCTAGCCCGGCCTTGGTCACCTTGAAAGCCTTCTTGCCTAGCTCTGCCTTGGTCACCTTGAAAGCCTTCTTGCCTAGCCCGGCCTTGGTCTCCTTGAAAACCTTCTTGCCTAGCCCGCACTGGGTCTCCTTGTAAACTGTAGTCTCCTTGTGAAGCATCAGGTTTTCTGTAACACAGTAAGGAAACAAGTTTACATATATTATTGAACAACTTTGTCATTAAACACTATCTGTATGACAATGAGAATCATCACAACTTAGTATATGTAAATAATGTTGAAACTTAAGGCGAATGCACAGCAAGTAGTTGTATCAGACACTAAAAACATATCAAATGGAAAAGGTCATCATGGTAAAACAGGCATTTACAGATTAATTTGCATTTGAGCCAGTGAAATTAATGTCATAAAATCCATAAAGCAACAAACAATACATTGTCTATTTTTCTTCCTCAGCACTTTATTAATTATCTCGTCTAAGAGGACTTCATTCCGGATGGTGTCATAACAATAAATACGTCGTTATTTAACAACTTACATCTTTATTGCAACAAGATAGTGAAACAAGTCCCAGGAGACTGAATGAGGTTTTCCTGAGTAAATCAAGAAGTACAGGATTGCATTTTGGGTTGCCACCGGTCCCGGTTTTTCCAGGATCGTCGTATCCCTGAGGTAGCAGAGTTCTGGGAAATCTATTCGGCTTCCAGGCACATTAAAGTCTCGGATTTTGTCTGTTCCATAATAATATGGCACTAAAAAAAAGTATAATTGTCAAATAGTTCACATATCTTTTCAGTATTGTGAGATATCCCTATTTTATCAGTTTTTTTCTATCTCAGCCCTAACACGTCAGTGTATATGTACAATACAATAAGATGCACAACTCTCATCCATACCCCTATTATCTGTGGCAGCTGCAGGGTCCGTGAGAACTCCTATTATCCGTGGCCCTATTCTTCCTATTATCCGTGATTTTTCCCATGAGTCTTAATGGAATGGCATGGGTTATGACAGTCGTCACGTGGCATATTCATCTTATTATCCATGGGTTAATTAACGGATAGGATCCATGATATGGATCTCCTATATTGCCGGGGATACGGGGAGCACAGTACTTTTGTAAACCTATAAGCCTAATAACCTACAACCACGAGACAAAATTACAAAACTAAAATTTAAGCAACCAGTTTATAAACGGATTTGTTAGTGCTAAACTACTCTCAACGGCCACCCGACGATTGATTATATATCGATCCTGATTTCTCATAACACCAGGCCCTGTTTGTTGACCCTTACACAACTTTACATTAAACAATAATCAATCAAGCCACTCAATATGAAGCAATGCACCGGACTACTGATCACAAAAAACTCACCTGGCATAAACGATATACGCCGCACAACCATTCCCCATCATTGGATCCCATCCAAAAACCCCAATGTGTCACGCTACACAATGTATGCACTATTTCATTTAAGCACTGTATTCCACATGTACTCATTATTCACTGACGTACCATGCTGGTGGTGTAATGGTTTGCACGATGGACTTGTAATCCTGGGGTCACCAGATAATTTCCCTGGTGTGGCAGTTGAAAGAGCGGTGCAAGTTGCTTAAATTCCCCCTCGCCTCTGTCCACCCGTTTGTTTAAATGCGTAACAACCACAGTTAGTTGATTGGCAGGTCGACTATGGTGGGGTAAAGTTTGGGTACCCCCCCCCCCACCTCCTTTCCAAGACATTCGGCTAGTGTGGAAGAGGAGACCAAATACACTCTATAGGGGCTCTCTGGAGACCCTTCCGCCAGCAGTGGCATTAGCAAGTAAGTCGGGGCTGCACCTTTATCTGTTTTACCTTTACAATAAACATGTACATTTTAAGAATAGGGTTTTCCCCTTTTATCTAACAAAACAGGTGTTAAGTTGTTAAAACACCAAACTGAAACTAGCCACAATACAAAATGCAAACAAAAAACATACTCTGATAATATATGCATTGTCTTTGAAACTGATTGGTCCACACCAGAGACAGCTTTCTTTTGAGCCTCGTCTCAAACGGTGTTAGACCAGAGGACGCCAAAAGGCGTACAGCTCAAAGACAACGCACTATCAGAGTAATGAGAGCTCGGGGTGAGCATCTACATCATGGGAGCTCCTTTGCCAGTACCAAAATATGAGAATAGGTTTTTCCCCTTTTATCTGGCAACAAAACAGGTGCTAAGTTGTTAAAACACCACACTACTTGTGGTCAAAATGCAGACATGATTCTTTAACACCTGTTTTGTTGCTAGATAAAAGGGGAAACATCTATTCTCATATTTGGGTACTGACAAAAGGAGGTCCCATGATGTAAATTTTAATTAAATGAAAATTTGTGAATGACCTAAATTTCCACTGCAGTAATGCTATATATTATAAGTAGTAAAACCACACGCACTTGTGGCAACACATGCAAACATTCATGCTTTGATCAAATATGCATTGTCTTTGAAACGGATTGGCCTACACCAGAGACAGCCTCTTCATGGCCTTGTATCGTCAGTGTCAAACCAGACAACGCCAAAAGGCGGACAGTGCTGTTCGACTTTTGGCGTTCTCTGCAGATTTGATGCCTTGCAAAAAAAGTATCTATTTTGTATTATAACATCTGAACACCTGTTTTATTGCCAATACCTATTCTTATTTTTCATACTTCGATACTGGGGGGAAAAGGTCCCATAGATAATAAACCTATAAATAGATTATTCCACCACTTTGTAGAATAGCGATGCTCAATATTAATTGTAGCACGTTAGAAATGTCCCCCCCCCCCCCATAATGTATTTATTTTTGTAGCGACATTGTAAGTTGGATTTGTTTACGAAGTCCCTTATTTGCTGTCGGTTTTCTGTATTTACACGGGCGGTCAATTTTGGTTGTGGCCAGTGGGTGGCCTGATGCAGACCCGCTCGGTGTGACACGTCCATATCCTTGCGTTTTACAGCTCTTCAAGATCAACGTTTTGCTATCGATCTGGAGCCCCTCCATCTCATCATTTCCAACGTGCCAACATAACAATCCAATTATAGAAAGCATCATCATTAGCAGCAGCAGCCCTCATATTCCTCACTCCATCGCCCATCCCTCCATGGCCCTGCGATGACGTCACAATCCATCTCATCGCTGCCCGCCATGGTGTGGACCCACAGTCCTCTACTTAAACCATGTAAGATCTCCCGACAGGCAACCACCATCCCTTCACACGCCAAGCTACAAGTGGCGACCAAGAGAAGCTCTCCACTCACGCATCGGTCTGCACAGGACTCCAGACGGCCAGCAGCGTCACGTTCGCGCACGAAGAGCAATGCCGTCGACAACAGCGACAAGTTCCAGGCACCTTGTCACACCCAGCTGACATCGCATTGGCAGCATTGTTTACACATCAACCTTGCTAGTCACAGTCATCTCCATTATCAGTCCCTTCTGGTGACAGTCACTACATTATCTGTTCCTTTTAGTCATAGGTCACTACATCATCAGTCCCTTCTAGTCATTGCGTGCTGCCCTCCGTCACTCAACAAGACTGTTCGCTGTAGTCAGCCTGACGCGACGTTCGTTCCCCATTCCGATGTCTTCCCTCTCTCGACTCCTCCCGGTGCGATCCCAAGAAGCGCATCTCGCCGCCGTGCTGCTGGATGGCGGTTCTCAGCAGCTGCTTTGTTCTATATTCACATTAATTTACAGCGTCTGTATTTTTCTGATAAATGCGTGTTGGCTGGTATCATGTAATATTGTATACGATAACATTAACAAATTATTAAACATCATTATTATCATGTAATATAATGTTGCAATGATGAACAGTGGTAGCGTTGTGTGTACTGCAATTTCAATGGAAATCAGCACTATCCTGCATGACATGTTTTTATATATATACAGTAAGTGGATCAACATTTTAAATGGAGATACATGCAAGAGAAATATTGAGTACTTATTAAAAAACAAAGTTAATTAAATCCATGAAGGCAACACAGCAATGAGCCTGGGTTTCCAATCAGTGCACACTCGTGTCATGGAGAAGAGAATGCCAAATGCACTGCTATGCATGTGATGTGCAAACAGAGGAGTGATGGTGACAGTGGTGATGCCTGTCACAAGTCGTTACAATTATACAAACAGCTCGCTCACACACAGCGCACTCTCATACAGACAACGACAAAGATCCCCCATGTAACCCACGCAGGCTATTGTGTCAAGTGCTGTGAGCGAGTAGCATGGCACACACGGGGGTGGGTGGCCAGCACCACGCCCGGTCATGCAAACAGTTCACTCTCACACACACACAGGTAGCTTTCATACACACCACACATAGCTCACACACACACAGGTAGCTTTCATACACACCACACATAGCTCACACACACACACAGGTAGCTTTCATACACACCACACATAGCTCACACACACACACACAGGTAGCTTTCATACACACCACACATAGCTCACACACACACAGGTAGCTTTCATACACACCACACATAGCTCACACACACACACACAGGTAGCTTTCATACACACCACACATAGCTCACACACACACACGTATACACAGCTCTCTTTCATTTATCCAGCTATTCCTCGATCTCTCTCACACATACATACACACGCATGTAGACACACACACAGCTCTCTCATGCACACTACGTCACCTGACCTTGCATTCTCGGATATTCCTCATTCCATCACCCACCTCCTCGCATTAGTCATCCACATCTCGACCTTGCATCCTTTCTTCTAACTCATCCGCACAAGCATCATCATCCTCACCACCACCACCTTGAATTCATAATCATTCACCACCATCACCGTATTAATCACCTTGCATTATCACCGCCACCACCATCAGAATCATTACCTGACATTCGTCTTCATTCGCAGCACCACCCTGCATCACACTGGCATCGCGTGCCATTACATCGCTGCACACACGATCAACTGCAGTGCATTACATAATATCATGTATATGTGCATTATACATACACACCACCCCACGTAATGCACAAGGACATGCATAACTGGGCATTTTATAATGCAGTGGGCACATTATAAACGTCCTACATAGGTACATACACGAAGTTACATTGCATTATGCGCTTTGATACATTATGTAGCATTACATTACACATCTACTACACCAATTATCTGCCTTCAAATGTCACGTTAGGTGTGGATGGGTTGTACACACATCACTTAGTACAATATTAAGACAATAGTAACACACCCACACACGTTATTCCCTGTAAGTAGGTCAAGGAATTTGCACACCATGTCTGACAATGGACGAAAGATGCCTATGCTGCACACACAGAGAACAATCTTCACCAACCCACAATGACCAGCGTGGTGAAGTATGGCCAAATATCCCCCAATAGGGGGGGGGGGGCTATACGTGTGAATGTGGAGAGTATGCGATTGTCGCCTGCACTGTAATGGTATTGAAACGCAGATTGCTGGTTGACGATTATAAGAGGCACGTGCTCATGGATAACCCTTGTGTCAATCCACTGCTGGATGAGGGCCACACCACGCCGTGTGGGTAGGGGGAGGGAGAGTGATTTGGTCATACTTCACCACGCTGGTCAATGCGGGTTGATGGAGACGGAGGCATGAACGTGGGAGCCATAGTTCAGCACCGCGATATATATACTGTTCTGTCTCTTATAATACACGGGGCTCGTCGCCGTTGGGGGGGGGCACGAGCATGCGTGGAAATTCCACATTCCTATGGCGAGCGTCAGTCTTTCTATGGACAGGCCTCTGTTGGCTTCTCACAAAGTGGTACCTATTTTATCGACTCGGGAGAGATAACAATGCGCTGACGAGAAATTGTGAGTCGAGCTGTCAGCACGTAGCCCAGTCGCTCCCCCCAGCGTTGCCTCCCGCTCGCATTCTTCGCCGTTCATTGCATCGTTACCTGCTTTGTACACATTCGGGCACAACCACATTACGTACCTAGAGATAAAATGTCTTCTGTTTTAGGTTGCACTTCTAAAGAAATATTTTTACTCCGTGGACTCTCGTCTTCATCACGAAGGTATGAGTTTGCGTGTGTGTGTGTGCACGCAAATATATGAATGGGTGCATTTGGTGCACGTGTTACCCGGTCCAAATCTCAGGAAGACAAAGATGGGAGTATCATTCACATTACACATCTGTACGCTAAATCTACATACCGTACTATATGTAAAAAATACTTCATGTATGTTCTGTTACGTACACATACACTCGCATTCATACATACACACCCACACACAGCGCAACAGAATATTTAAATACATAATTTGCATGCCGGACCTACATATGAAGCGTCCACAGTAAACACATACATCCATACATTCCACCTTATATGCATATATTATGCAAATACATGCTTTGCATTTACATACATAAGCACGCACACAACCAGGTAGGTGAACACACATACACATATACAGGCACGAACACACACAAACACCCAGATAGACACACAAGTAGACACATGAACACATAGAGACACATCAACACGCCCATACACATAGGCGGACACACGAGTGAACACCATTGTCACAAATACAGTAAAGGTAGCAGGCAGCCACATTCATTCACACACCCATGCTCATCAACAGGCAGACACACCCATACATACATATACAGACAGTCACGTGAACACTCATCCATACACACACACATACAGGCAGACAGATGAATTAATATACACAAACACATACGGACAGGTTACACGAGCATAGGAATCCATACAAAGACCTTCCGTGTTGCCTGTTAGCCATCACCCATACAGTGACCTATACGCAACACGTACAGGTGAGCCACAGATACACAAGCAACACCCAGGCACGCGCACACAAATCCATCCGATGTGCTCGCGTGCGGGATCGACGTGTGGACCAGTGGATCACAACTGCTACAACAAGATCACACAGTGGGAGGAAGGGGGGGGGGGGCTACGTGCCGGTAGAGCGATGGGTCTCCGGGCCCAGCAGCGGACGCCCTCTGCCCGGACGAGGGGGAGGCAGAGGCCGGGGGGAAGGCGGAGGACGCGACGGAGGTTGTCGCTTGTGCTCGGCCTCCAGCAGACGGGGCACCGCCCTGCAGGAGCGGGCCAGCACCCGGCCCCGCTGCTGTTGTTGCTCCTCCCGCTGCTGCTGCTGCTGCAGCGGCTGCCCCCGGCATGGCCTCTCCCTCGCCGCTCAGCTCATTTCCCATCTTCTCCCGACGACGCAGAGGGCAGCGCTTGACTCTTCTCTCTCTCTCTTGCTTTTGCTACTCCACCATCTTTGGCTGGCGACGATGCGGATTAGTCGTGTTGCTTGCTCTCGCTCGCACCCTCTCTCTCTCTCTCCTATCCTCTCTCCTCCCCCCGTCTATCTCCCCCCCCCTCGCTCTGTTTATCTCCCTCCCTCCCCTCTCTCCAGATCTCCTCTCCTCCTCCCTCCCTCTCTCTCTCGCTCTCTTGCTCTCTCCGGCAGAGGGACGCGCGCATGCGCTTGTGGCAAGCTCACTGCTTTGCCGATATACGCGGCCGGCGCAGCAGTGTGCACTCACCGCAACTGTTGTGGCACGCAACCGTGGCACACGACTGTGTGGCACGTAACTAGGGTTGAGTGTGGATAGCAGCAACTTATAATCAGCTGCCTATATTCATTCACACGAATGCACGACATTCATGAAATTCTGTAATGCCGATTCACAAACGCAAGCCTTATATAACCCATAGCACAGTGCACGGCGATCTGCTCGAATGTGCATATAGGCAAAAAATCACGCCGGTCTTATTATTTTACAAAGACACCACAGGGCTAAAGGTGCGACAGATAAATGGGTCTGGCGTGATGATGCGACGCGTCTCGTGTTGATTGTGTCGCGAGCGCAATTCGCCGAGCTCGCGTGGTCTATGGACGATTCAGCACCACGGAGAGCGCCCACTCACGATGCGTTCAGCAGCGACCCCTCCCGACACGAAGCGAGCATTGAAGGCCTCCCCCACCCCCGGTTCAATAATGGAAGACTCCCAAACACTGTACATTGGGGCTTGGTGCATGCAGCATTGATAAAAACCCAACTCGTGAAAACAGACGCCCACCGGTGTGGTGGCCATGACAGGGTTAACCATGAATGGATTGGTTGCCAGGTGGCTCGGGATACTTTTCACGGCCATGTTAAAACCAATGTGGCAGCACTGCTAAAACCCTGGGTTACAGTTTTTGGATTCCAGCTCCCACCTCTCATTCAGCTTGGTACCAAGCGTGGCGAGTTGATGAGCGGTCTCTGCCGGGTCAACACGACTTTACCAAAACACCGTATATGTGTTTTATTAGTAGTACTATTATTTGTTTCAGCTTAACCCGGCTATAATGACTCATCGACCGTTGTCTATCCAGGAAGGAACATCAGGACACCACCACAACAACATCGACAACATCCGGGCCGGCCTGCAACTGTGACAACTAGCGGCCGAGTCTGCCTCTCGCGGTTTGGACTTCACAGTCACAGCAGCCACAGCAGCCACAGCAGACCTAATCCCCCAAGGCACAAGACATCACTGGTCTCCCGAGACTGCCATGCCGACGATTTGTCTATCCATTGCCGAGTGAAGGCCTCGCCACATTGTCACAATCCTTCACGGTCTTGCGAAGTCGCAATCCATCTGCTGCACATCACCCCGACTTCCTCACTCCATCTCGGCGGTGATCTTTCATTAAATCTCCTCTCTCGTCCATTGACCATTATCCCCGCAGACAATCCGACGACAATATAATCCTATATGTACATACTGGATGACTGCCATAGCAGTGTAACATATCTGCGCGATCCATAAACCCTTAGGTCCAAAGAACTGGATCACGTGAGTTAGGCGTGTAATCTAACATACTATCAAATGAACCGTTGAAAAATGTTACTTTAATTTTGCCTCTCAACATATCTCCATGCCTGCATCAGTATCGGAATGGCATTCGTGCGTGGCCTGTCAGCCGAGGGCTGTCTGATCGTGTGTGTGTGCGCGCGTGCACCCAAAGCTCCATTTTAAATCCAGCCCATTTAGAAAGGCACTCGTTACTAATATAGCTACAGCCAATTTAGAACCGAGTGCCTAATATAGCGGTGGTTACAGCTCTGGCTCTGGTCCAAAATGGCAGTGTAAGCATAGGTTCTCTATTTTGAGAGTATTATGCATAAAGGACGGGGTTGTGAGAAGAAAATAAACAAATATTACGGGCAGAGGTTGGTTCACAGACTTCATACATTCCTGTGGAAGAGTCGGAATGTACATCTTCGTATTAATAACGGGGTTCTGAGGTCAGAGAGATTTGCTTATACCTTGGAAGCAAATACCAAATAAGCGTCTGGCCTTTGAGTATAAGAGGGTGCTGTGAGTATAAGAGGGTGCTATTAATGTATTGGCAGGGTAGGTTACGCAGCCGGGGAGTAGAGAAAAGGACGTGGTAAAGCATCGTAGATATAACCAGGGACATGGGTGGGCGAAGGCGGGTTACTAAGATGGTGGAATTTACAGAGCTCCGGGGAAAAGGGGAATACGTGAAGCTGAGTGGTGTGGTACTATGAGAGAGGACCTTGGAGGTTGAGTGTTGGCTACAAATCTGATAGATCTGGCGAAAGAAAGTAAGAAAGCATATCAATGGCGATGTGTCGTGGCATCAACATTGGCTATGATCATCTCTTGAATTTGGATGCGAGTCAGGATGAGCCTATTCCATGAGCTGTATACACTCGCACCTTCGATTAGCACGGTTGGCTACGTACAGTGCGAAAGAAGTTCAACATACGTACTCCGATGGTTTGAGATTTAATGAAGGCATTGGCTTGTCGTTCTAGTTGTCTATGTCACATCGCCTCGGCCATAACACTTTGTACAAATTGTAAACGTGATTATTATAATTGAGGTAGGTATCACAAATCCGTTTGTACCGTGAGTGAATGATCCCCTTCGCTGTGTTCTACACAGGATGAAGGGCGGTAAACACCAAATGACCTTTACTTTAAATCTTTTGACATTTTCTTACTTACATCCCAGCTGAATTGTGACTTCAAGAGAAAACACAGAATAAATTGCGCATAATAAGGGCAGTGCGACTTCAGTCGTCACCGGGTGAGTCATGTTTGACGCCAGACTTTTAGCGGAGCCACGTGGATGGACAGATGAAAGCTGTGCCAGATATATTCATACCAAAATAAGGGTTCGTGGGATCAGAGATAATGAGGTGCACTAGACAACAAAATTGCATTAAGAGTCAACTCTGCCCATCATCGTGATCATTTGAAGTCCGCAGAAATAAGCATTGCCTGGGTAAGGCTACACACTTGTTCAGAACTCGGCAGTGGTCGTATTAAAGGGTCGACTGGGCCCTGACACATGAACGTGGAAACGTTGCCGATGGCTCAGTGCCAACACTGGAGAAGAACACTGCCCACTGTTCACTCAACGATGGAGACGTTGACGTACTGAGACGGTGCTGGGATGTGTGGCATCGCGCAAATCCCGCACACCAACGCGCGTGCCGTGTCGGCTGTCAGGCCAAGAGCTCTTGTTCGCAAGCGCCGATTGCGGCCAGCGTCGCAGACGAAGCGGTGGCGGAGTCCACGCGACGCGAGAGAGAGACGACGGCGTGTGCCGAACATTCATTTGACGCCGAACCAACAGAGGGGAATCCCAAACTAGCTTCAGGTACCGATTGCCACTACACATGCAATCGTGTCTATCTGTGAATTGCTGCAACACACACTACGTGTGTGGTTGATAGAAACACAAATGCACATTTGAACCAAATGTGCCTTGAGGAAATGTGATCTTGTTTTTGGGTTTACTGTACCTCTTTTATTTTAGCCCCACGGTAGTGGTGGCGGTGGTTATCCACGCGGCCTGCAGTCCCGCGCGAGGGTTCGTGGATCACACAACCGTCGCGAAACTCCCTCCCCGTGCGGCGTCGCTGAGCCATAACCCTGGCTCGCCACGTGAACGCGGTACAGCAAGCGGAACTCCACCTGTATGATCTGTCCGGGGTATTCCCCCTCGCACGTGTGGCGGTTTTCACCGGATGCTCCGGTTTCCTGCCGCGTGTAAACACTCATTGGCTGACAACGCCTACAGATGACCGCACAGCTTGGACGAGGGTTATTGGTGGTAGCTCCTTGTCGCTACGAGTTGTTGTCTCCGTGAGCAAGAGTGGCTACTGCAAGGTGCGTACACGTTGACATTATCATTACTTCGAGTCCATGTAGTGCCATCAGGTGAGATTACAAACGCGGCTGGATCGGTATCGTACTCACGTGCCCTGTGCATTGTGCACGGCACGTGATGGGGGGGGGGGGGCGATTGTCCCTGGAGTGGCGCGGGTGCACAGGTGGCACGGATTAGGGGGAGGGTAGCCACACACCTGTGCTGCTCAAGTCGAGTATTGTGCACACTGGTGCATCGCTTTACTAATAACTGGAGACTTTAAACAATGGAAGGCGAATCTGCTGAACACATTACAGGAGTAATTAATTATTGCATCGACTTCAGAGAGATGATGAGCTCATTTGACCCCCGACTGAGATTTCAACTCCTTGCTGGACAGCAATTGATCATGAGATGAGGGATTTTTCTGCCGACAATGGAAATCTATCAACCGATTCCAACAGCAACGCACAGCAATATGATCGATATGGGCACAAAAACCAAGGAACAGCAGCACCTTTTTAAAGCTTTCGTGACTGCAGGGATTCATCTTCTTGGTTCTTTCGGTAAAGTCACGTAGAAGGAAAATAATAAAAATAAAACATAATAAAATAATTCTCACTTTATTATGTTTTATTTTTATTATTTTATTATTTTCCTTCTACGTGACTTTACCGAAAGAACCAAGAAGATGAACAGCAGCACCGTTGATAATTGTTTATAGGAACTCCACAATGCGTCACCAAGCGATAAAAGGAACACAAATGACATTCACAGAGGCCTTCAAATGTACGTGAAGTTTCCGCTTCATGTTTCAGATGCATTCACTGCTAATATCTGGCCAGTAATATCGGGGCCCTGGGTTTGAATCCCAGCCACCCGATGATAATAAGAAACAATGTGAGTATCGTGTCTGAATCAAATCGGAAGGTCACAAGTTAAAATCCCAGTCAGCGATATAATCATCCCTCCACGGTCAATACAATGAGAACCAATTTTTGGAACAGCGTCTGTTCATTGACAATACCAGATTGTACCATAGGAAGATGGACTTTCCACCATTGGCAAAGGCTATCGGTGCTTTCGGATTTGTATCGCCTGCGGTTCAGCATTGTCTGACGTTTCGCTCGATTGTATTGGGAGCAAAACAACATTACATCGCTGAAGAAGTT